TAAAACAAATGATTCTGGAATCAGCTGATCCTCACTCACACAGATGTTCTGGACAAACGTCTCTCAGGTCTGGTGGACCAGGCAGGTTCTCCTGAGTAGAACCAGCAGAACCTTTTATCTGTGTGTTCTTTACTGTAGGTGAAGGTGGTGGCCATCGATGGACGTCTGGACATTCTTCATCAGAGCATCGTTCACTTTGACTCTGAACTTCCTGAGTTCAGGTAACAAACTGAGACGAGTCACATCAACACAACATGTTACTAACACGTGACATGTTACTAACACGCTCCTCTGCAGTTGTTTTGTGGTGATTTGATTTGTTAAGATTGTTCTGCCATTCTGATGTTTTATTTTGAAAGGGACTCGTTGTTCTTCCTGTGTCCAGGACTCAGGGGGGGGTTCATCTCCATGGTGATGGACTGACGGTCACCTCTCCGGTGCTGATGTGGGTCAAGGTGCGACGCTGTTCATTCAGTAACATCCAGTTGAAGTTTAAACTCTCTGACCTCTGACCCCTGACAAGTCCCTTATCATTGGTCCACAGACAGTGAACGAGGGCGTCTGTGCTGCTTGTCACTCAAATGACTTTGTTGCTGTGATTGGCTGTTTGTTTGTGTCCGTCCGTCCTCAGGCTCTCGACTTGCTATTGGACAAGATGAAGAAGGCGGAGTTTGACTTCAGCCGAGTCAGAGCGCTGTCAGGCAGCGGCCAAGTGAGTCACGTGATCACCTGAGATTTCTTCTTCTGTGCTTTTTTTTCAGGCGCCTGGACACAAGTCTTAATACACATTCATCTTAAACAGGAGATTATAATGTCCACATACTTGTGTAATATCTGCATACATGAGATATTAAAGCTTCATGTGAGTAAACATGGATCAACATTAAAATGGTTTGATCGAAGAACTCACGGATCCTCGTCTCTTAGCAACATGGCAGTGTTTACTGGAGAAGACGGGCGTCTGAGACACTGACTCAACTGGACTCGGACCAGAATCTACACCAGCTGCTGCAGGTCTGTCTCCGCAGGTCATAGGTCACATTGTGTGTGGCCATCTGCTCATCTGATTTGTGTCTCTGGCGCCTCCTACAGGACAGTTTCTCTGTGTTGGACAGTCCCGTGTGGATGGACTCCAGCAGCAGTCAGCAGTGTCACGACCTGGAGGCAGCAGCAGGGGGCGCTCTGAGGCTGGCAGAGATCACTGGATCCAGAGCCTACGAGGTCCAGCTGTCCTAATGTTGTCTCTCTGTCTCTCTCTCTCTCTACTTGTTAAAACTTTACGTTCATTCATCACTTCATCCTTGTTTGTTTACTCGCAGCGTTTCACAGGAAACCAGATCGCCAAGTTGCGACAGACTCGACTGGAGGATTTCCAGGACACTGAGGTCAGCCTCCACAACATCTGTGACCTTTGACCCCAGGGTGTCTGCCTCGACACTCAAACTGTGTGCATGTGTTTCAGAGGATCTCATTGGTCAGCAGTTTTGCGGCCTCTCTCTTCCTCGGTGATTACGCTGCCATCGACTACAGCGACGGTATGAAACCAACCAGACTTCATTTATTGACACACCTGATCTTTTAGCTAACACTCACCTCTGATTGGTCGTTCAGGCTCTGGGATGAATCTGCTCGACATCAGGACCAGAAACTGGTCCGAGATCTGCCTGGATGCTGTCGCTCCACACCTGGGCCGACTGCTGGGAGCTCCGCTGCCCTCCACATCTGTCCTGGTGAGACTGGTGCAGACACATGGTGACCGGTGGGAGGTGACCTTTGACCTCAGTTCTCCGCTCTGTCCTGCAGGGTCCGGTCTCCTCCTACTTTGTGCGTCGATATGGATTCTGTGATGGCTGCAGTGTGGTGGCCTTCACTGGGGACAACCCAGGTAACAAGTGGGAAGTCTGCTGTTTGATGTAGTTCAGTGAAATGAACACAAGGTGGAGCTGTAGTGTTGTGAGATGTTAGCTGCTCAGTGTTTAAACCACGTCACGTGTTCAGTTTTTCACAATAAAAGACACAACGTTAAATTGACAGTGGACGTGTGTGAGGAAGAATTACAAGTCTTAAACATGCATGTGAAGAGTTTCCACGGTGACAACGTGTTTGTGTTTCTCAGCCTCTCTGGCAGGAATGAGGCTGCAGCCGGGAGACGTGAGCGTAAGTTCATCAAACAACTGAATTCTACACTTGACACAGTGACTTATACTGATGTGTGTGTGTGTGTGTGTGT